TACACCCTCCCATCAAAAAACAATAATAAATCCTACTGTTGTATGATATAAGTCTAATATAATTGAATGTTTTTTCAGGTATTCATGAGTTATATAGCCAGACTGAACTTCCAAGAAAAGGACACTATATTTCAGTCTTTACCACTCTAAGCTCTGTTTCAGTATTTTACGCACATGATTTCCTTTTCAAAAGTACTGATCATCCACATCTACAATCAAAAGCGTAAGGTGCACATTTTGCACATTTGAAGACTGCTCTAATACAGTTTTCTTGCTTATACGGCAGTAAAATAACCAGGAAAAATTACAAAATGTGATAACTATTCTTTAAGGACTATAATCAGCGAGCATGTCTCAGGCTAATCTTTTTCATCTTATTTGGCCGTAAGGTATTTCAGGATATTTCAAACATTTCTATAACTGCATTTATTGCCTATTTCCAAGGGCTTACTTTTCAACACATTATCCTACCAAAATTTTAAAAATTCCCATTTGAACCTCATAATACACTGTTAAGAAGTTAGTTGAATGCACACAGGAAACAAAAGGAGAAAAAGAAAATGTACTTTACATATAACATAAACTTTTCAAAATACAGCTAAGGCAAAGCTAGAATGAAAGAAAATCAAAATGTGCTTTCAGTGTCCATTAAGATGAAACATCTGAATTTACAGGAGGTTCCTGTCTGATTATAATAACACACACAAAATTAAATACATAAATATTAATTTTATGTATCACATAAGATGAAGACAATGAAAGAAACTATGTTTACATTTATGGTTGACTCATTAGTGTTTTATTATGTGAAACACTAGGAGGCATCAGTTGGGTAAAAAAAAGAGTTCTTCTTTTGAAAAATGGTAAGAAATTAGCATAGAAGTTACCAGTTTCAAAGTTTCATACTTCCAAATGTTAAAGTCTGTATGTTATAACTAAATCATGCAAATAGCTGAAACTCTTATTTGCCCTGCTAAGTGACATATTTAATAATATAGGGACAACATTTAATTTCCTAGCTCTTTTCAAACCAGACTACTATGTTCACATATGCAACACAAAGTATAGCTTTACATCGTATTACATTTTTAAAAATAACATAATAGAGGGAAACTAAGATGACTTACTTGTTCCTCAATATTATACCTTTTGATAAATCTGCAAAGCCCTGACACATTTTATGCACTGCTCTCTGCACATAAGCTCTTAATAGGGTAAATGCAGTGAATTTAGTATAGTGCTAGACACTTTTAAGAACTTTTAATTGCTATTACAGTATATCATCTAGGCAAAAGTGTTCTTAAAAACCCCCAAGACAATCAACTATTACATTTTAAATATATTTCCCAAAAGCGGTGAATTAAACAGCTTTTAAAAAGATTTATACAACAATGCTACAAGTGGCTCTACCTTTTATTATAAAGTCATACGAAACCAGTAATGTAAAAACTGAGTTTCCTTTCTTCAAATTGCATTTAACAATGACTAAGCAACAGAGTTATAGTTGTCTTAAAAAATAATCAATTGAAATTGAAGTGTGCCTTGCCATGCTGCAGCAATCAGCTTTTATCTCTGCCCAATCAAAATGACATGTGAACTGCCTAATCCTTCTTTTGTAAGGCACATAAGACTTTGTTGTCACTGTTGGTTTTGTGAATCGCCTCTATAAGCTGGTCTGATTTCCTAAAGATGACAGATCCTAGTGAATAGACAAGCTCTACTGCACTGCAGTCAATGAGACAGTGAGATTAAAGTGGAGGACTGAAGACACTAGCTTTTAATCACCTGTCCACATGCAACATTGACCATTAGCTCTTAGAAAATTACCTTAAGGCTGGTCAGAGGACCCAAATAACTCCTTTTAAAAACAGAAAATTAAAAACTTAAATTTTTAAATTTTTCACTTGCACCATCAGTTGTGTTCGCTGACCAGAGTTCTTCTAAACTCATCTTGTTTCTGAAATAACATACAAAACTCTATTTTCACCCTTTTCAAATGCCAGAATACTAACCCTACTCTTAAGTTTGAAGTTTTCTAGCTGTTCAGAATTACATATATGATTTTTATATTTATTTTATACCTAAGTTGCTAGAGAGCCTAAATGAAGGTGTAGGAAAATCTCTCTGCTGATATCATATAGAAAAAAAATTTAAATCTTAAAAGACATCACAAATGTAACTGCTGTGGTTATTTTTCAAAATGCTGAGGCAGAGACTATAAACTCCTTGAAATTATATAGCACCTTATTTACGTTCATCTTCATAAAGTGTTTTCTAAAGAATACCACTACACCTTACTTGACTTTTGGATAAATTATCGTGTAATTTAGAATAATCATGTCCAACAGGTAAAATGGAGTCTACATATCACAAACCAAATCCTTATTCTTTCAAGCACCTAACAGCAGTTAATGACTTCTTGCTCAATGAGATGTAGAAATATACTTAGCTGTCTCTGAATATTGAACTAAACTATTCTGGTGAACAAAAAATTAATCTGTTACAGAAAAAAAGTGAAATTAGAAGAAATTAAGTTGGCAAAAGTATTCTATTCACAACTTCGGCTCAGTTCCTAAGTTTCTATGTAGTTATATTTATCTACTAAATAGTGAGCTATCAAAATCTTTCAGTGGTAAACTTTTGGAAAAAGCCTCAGAAAGCTTCATTTCTCTTTGTCTCTAATATTTAAGGTATTTCAAAAAATAGAATAATTTAAGAGAGGCACCTCTCTGTTTCTGAATATGTATGGTGCAGGTACACAAATTAAGAGTGCTTTTTTAAAAAAGAAAAATTTTCTGATGCTACAATGAAAGAAAATTCACAGTAAGAAATTTTCTTATGACGCTCCAAAACCAGCAGCTCGGGAACATAACTCTAAAAGACTTAACCTCACACTCTGTTCATCATTTAGCACCAATTTCTATAAGGCTCTTAAGCCTAAATTTCATTTTTACTTGGTCAAGTAATCTTAAGAGGATAGATGCATATCTGATTCCTGCATTCATTTATAGGACATTGAAAGTGACATTCTTTACATCTGAGAGAGAGCTGTGGCACAGGCAAGAGGTCTAGGTCTCCCAGGGGCCTGATCCTGTAAAACGTTTTTCCTGTGACTTGTTCATTTTCACACAAGTAGTCTCAGCATTGTCAGTGGGACTAGTTGTGTAAGTAGTGTTTGCATGAAAGAAGGTTTTCATGCTCAGGTCGCAGAATTGCCTTCTCATACTAGCTATGTAGGGCATATTAGTAAAAATATATATAAACAGCAAGTTTATAAAATAAAAAGATGTGTACTACAAGCAACATAAACACTCTGAATTAAGGAGCATTCTCTTAAGTTCTTCCTCAAAGAATTTTTTGATTACTTCCAAAGGGACTTAAGTGTGAGCAGAGACTTCAGTATTAGACTCGACATGAATTACGTATTCATTAATATAGAAAGAATAATATAACAGGTATTTTAATAAAACTGATGAAGTAAGAAAGTCTTGCGGGTTTTTTGACTTCATGTTAGGTACCTAAAATCATGCAACAAAAATAGTTCACAAAATACCAAATCCCCAAAGTGGCCATTTGCCTGAGCATTTGAACTGGAAATCGGTATGTATGTAATACAGAGGTTAGAACCGGTTCACAGGTGGTTTTATTTCCATGCCCTGCCAAGCCTCTAGGGATTAGAGTTATTATACTCCATATAAACATCTTTACTCTTCAACCACAATACCCGGGAAAGTGCCAATAAAAGAAATCTAGTCACATTTGTATCTAATATAATTGGTTTATCATCCATCTTGCATTTCTTTTAAAGTAAAGATATGAAACTAGGACATTTGCCATTAAGCTGATTGTCAGATAAGTGCTAGGAAAATGCATTTTGTGTCAAGACAATTCTTTTCTGATCGCTACTGAAATACTGGCAAAGTGCCTTTCTCTGCTTAATTCTCTTAAATCTTTAGTCTTAAATTGTGTATTACAGTATTTAATTTCAGGATACAGGTATCTGCTAATAATAATTATTAGATACAATAAAGAAAACAGGACTCTTCTATAAAAGACAATACTTATGTTCCCACAATGATTCATTAAGTTTTGTTTTGCACTGTTCCAGCTTTTTTTTTTTTTTTTAATCAGAAAAGGAATTATTAGCTTGTCTTTATACTTGTTTTGCTTTTTAGGCTGACAGAAGGTCACACTAAGTTTTATGGGAAACCCTAAGTATTACAGTTACATAATGCACCAATAGTCTTATAAGTCTCTCATTTACATTAAACTTTATCTTAGCCTGTAAGTAACTGTACTGCATCTAAACCAGCCAGTTTTGTAAGGCTGATTAGCTCTACTCCTTTGTGCTAAAAAAAAATAAATGTAAAGGTTACTCAAAGTACTATGTAAAGACCAAGGCATGCTATTCCAAAAGAGGTTTGCAGCCCATGACTTAAATTCCCACACCAATGCAAGGGGTCTTTCCATCTCAAGCCTAAGTATTCGAATGAAAGATGCACAAAGTTAAACACTTGCAAGCATGCATTACCTAAACTCCAGAACTGAAGAGCCTTCATACAACGTTCTTCACATAATCAACTTTAAGGGCATTTCGCTCAAACTGGATTGTTTCCTCAGCCTGATAAATCAGGGTGCAAGCACTACAAGGTCATAGCATTTGGTGAACTATTCAAATCAAACAAGCTTCGAACACTCCACGTTATTCAAGCACACAAATGATGTAAACTAACTTCATCAAAGTTTAAACGCTTCTGACACTGACAGAGACAAGCCTGCAATAATTTACTAGACAGTGATTTAACTATGTTACTTGTCTAAAAAGTTACTTTTAAGCAATTGACAGTGCAATCGTACACTTAAAAAGTCTGCAAGCAACCTTAATCCCAGAGCACATACAATGACCGATGCATTCTTCAAACGCAATAGGAAATGTACATAGGGCTTTCGTACCATGCCCACTACATTTTATTCCGATGCTGAATTTCACATGTACTTACATTATAAACATTTAGCTGTTTGGATGATCAGACTAGTCCTTGAGAAATTTTCCTTTCATAGGAAAAAGAAAAAATCCCTTTACTTCTTCCAGCCTTAAATATTCACCACCTGGTTCAACATGCAGCCTCCTTGAATCACACACACAACCTTCAAAGTCAATCCAATAAGCAGCCAGGAGATGCCTGGGGTGTGTGTGTGTGTGTGTGTGCGTGTGCGTGTGTTGCAGCGTGGAGGAGGAGAAAGTGGCTGAGCTGCTGGTCGGATTAAAAGTAACCGGACTCGTCCTGAAAGCGTCCAGGAAGGAAGTGACAGCAGGCGAATGGGAAAAGGCGAGCAGCTCACAGCCTTTGTAACATCGGGAGGGGAAGGGGGAGGCGAGGAAGGGATTCAAACTACACGCCTGATGAGGTGTCCTTCTCTGCTTCGCTCCCTCTGCCTCCCTTTTCTTCTCCTTCTCTCCGTGTCTCTATTTCTCTCTCTCTCTCTCTCCCACAATCCCAAACGAATGACTCTCTCCTCCCGAGCTGGAGAAATAATCAGTTTCACTCTTGCAAAAAGGGGGCGGGATCAGATCCCGAAAGCGTTTTAATAAAACAAACATAGAGCAGCAGCAGCGGCAGCAGCTCCCTTCCTTGCCCCTCTAGTCTAAACTAGATTGATAAATTACTCCACTACACTACTTTAATTATGTATATGGTATGCAGAATAAATCACTGAACATCAGCACCTCAATCAAGCACTTTTTAAATGATAATTGCATCTTGGGCGAATCAATCTTTCCATTCCTGACATTTTGCTAATTTTAGTTTTACGGTGGGGGTAATGGCATATGCCACACGCAAACCTAATGACAATCCTTGGGGAGGGGGGGGGGGCGCGGAGCTTGGGGAGAAGCGGGGGGGGGGAAGGACGGACGGACGGAGGGACGGACGGACGGACAGCAGCCCTGCGGCCATCGTCCTTGTCACCGCAACCCCCCCGCGGCCATCGTCCTTGTCACCGCAAACACACACACACGCCACCCCCCCCGCCTCCTCCGGCATTCTCGCCGGGCTCCTTCCCCGCAGCCCAACTTGCCAAACTCATCCCGGTTTAGCGGGGCGGGAGCCATCCCGAGGGCAAAGTTTGGGGAGGAAGGATGAGGGATCCCCCGGGCCCCCCCCCCGTCACCGCCGGAGACGGTCTCCTGACAGGCTGGCCCACAGAAATGCAGCATTCTGTGTAAAAAGACAGGACTTGCCTTTTTCTTCTTCTTTTTTTTTTTTTTTAATAGGTTAATTTTGCTTTTAAAACCAGACTGAAAGGACCGTACTGTATGGGAGTTTGGATCCAAATTAAGCGCGTGCAGTAATTTGTGAGTAAAACGGGATTTTGCAGATACTCGCTTTAATTTCTATGTAGATAGCCAACTTTTACGATCCTTCGAGAGCAGCAGGGGAGTTTATAAAGGCACAGATCATTATTTTTATGATAGATTAAGGTCCTGGAAATAGGAACTGCACGCGTGGTAAAAAACCAAATGCCTGAATTCAAGCACCGGTGACAAATATATATTTGGTTTATTTTAACACAAGTCCTGGGTCTCGCAGTCTTTTTCCCCTATAAACATCTCATTGGGCCACTGACCTACTTCCAAAGTTCTGTATTTCGGCGGTGAATAAATGCCTTTTCAATTCAAACTGTACTTCTTAAAACATGGATGCTGGAAGCAGAGTGAGTGCAAAACGAAGCCAAGGCAGCTCTTAACGAGCACCCTGCCATCGCAGATCCCGGGAGAATACCCTTCAGCGCCTGCGGGGTCTCGTCGTGTCCTACTCCCTCTTGGTGCAATTTAGACACAGAGCGGACAACTCTCCACGGACAGACAGCTAACGTGGTATAAAATGCACCCAGAACAACAGCAGTAAGAGTGATAGTGATGTGCCCGCAGCCACCAGGCAGGAGCCAAGCAAAGAGGCACATATGCTCGGCAGTGTCAGCAGCAGAGCCCGCGTAACGCGGGGGGAAGACACGCTCTCTCAGCCTCAGGTTTGGCACTGAAGCACAGCAGGACAAGAAACACCAAGCACTTCCATGGCTTGTGCCCTCGCTGTGGGCAATTTTGGCCTCCCAGCACCACACCCAAATATCCAGTAATATTCATTTCCTAGTGGCAAAACCAGAAAAACTGCATTAAGACTTCACGCTTTTCGGGCTGTAATTGAAAATAACTGTCATCTGCTTTGTTTTATGCAGGATATGTAAGTTTTCCAGGTTTCTGGCTAGTTGGTAACAGAGCCCTTCAACTGGCAAGGCAGAACGCGAGCACCGTCGTATCTTGAAAGCAATTATTACAGTAGGCAAGTATTTCAGAAAATAAAAGTATACAGCAGCTTAGCACATCTACTACACCTCCGTGTGGGCACTTGTGGCCTAATCTTTAAATAGTTGTGACCTTCACATGCTGGAGCACCTTAAAGCCATGCCAAGTTTTTGTCATGAGTACAATTCATCAAATCCATGTAAAGGACACCTCGATTTTTAAAACAGGGTTCAGATGCTAGATGGACAAACAGATAGAAGGGGTGGGATCAGGCTTTCTCACTCATCTCAGGGTTAGATAAGGCACGAATTTATGCAGTATCTTTTGAAGTGTTCAGGGTTTTTTTTTCTCTCTTTTGCTGCATTTAATTTTAAAATCTGGAATAATTTCAAACAGTGAAAAACCTTTGTTCTGGTGTCTGTACTTGTACTGATGCTCCACAAATGCACCCTTTTCAAATTTCTGGCATGAGACTCAAATCGACTCTTTTTTGCTGGTCACAGGTCATGTGTAGGTCTGCTGACAAAATTATTTTTTTCTTGATCCGCCACCTGAGGCACGCACTGTTTTAAACAATGAGAACATCAGTCCAAATGTAATAATTATAAAATCAGATCTCCAAAGTTTTATCAAAGAGTGAAGTGTGTATCCAAGTATCTCTTTCCCTTACAAGTGTGATTATCTCAAGGTAACGTTCCTTTGAAGACGATTATCAAAGTCCGTTTTTGTTCTTTTGCGGATGCAGAGCGTATCTTTCCCTTAGGAGAAATGAGATTGCCAGCTTATATCTTTTAATGGCGTTTAAACTGAAAAGCAGTAAGGTTACTATGAAATGATCCACCTCCTTTGCATCTTAACCCTGGGGCGGCTTGGTTTCTATTTTCTGTTTAAAGTTCTGCTCAACCCCACTCCACTCCACGCCTCGCTCTCTTCCACCACCTCCCTATCTTGTAAGAGCAACACAGTATAACACTTCTTCCCATGTCTGGCTGCTTTTAAACTTGGCCCACGCTGGGTGCAGCACTTGAAGTGAGCTTTACAAAATTATTTTAAAGTGAGCTGGGGCGGTTGCCACAGCAACCCACCCTGAGAGAAATCGAGGCTATAGATTAATCTACCCCACAAGATTATTCAACAGTACTGTATTTGTTCTTCATTCATTCAGAATATTCCCTCAATCCATATGCTTTTATAATGAACAAAAGATGTAAACTCAGATAATTTCAAAGATAATAGGATATATATTCCAGGAGCATGATTTAAATGCTTTGTAAACCACCGCGAAGAGCTGAAATGTACATGATTCTTTGCAAAATCATTTAATTGCAAAAAAATATTTGCAAGGTAGGCACAGCTGACACATGAACTTTAAATAAAATGGCATGCCATTACTAAAATGGTGTTATATGCATCAAGCAATGATTACAGAAAGTCTTTGTCACAGGTGTACCTGTAAGTACATAATACAGCAGAGCTTGCTCTCCAGGCTTTGCTTTTAACATTAAATCTGAAAACAATAAATAGTACTTTGTAATATTAAATGCAATAAATATTAAACACTCACCACATACACCCTCTTTATTGTCAAAATCATCCGCCTCCAATGCTTTACTTAATCTTTCCCATAGTAGTTACTTCACAGTTTACAATTCTTGTTCGGCACCTTAGATGTTTAAAAGCACAAAAGTAGTGTATTATTAAAATGCAAACCTATAGTACTTAAATATATTCAAAGAGATTTATGAAACAACTTCTATAAAAAGAATACGAGTCTTTACTGATGTGCACTTAGGCCTAAAAGGAATATCACTTCTAAGTAACTTGACATTTTCAGAAGCTGTAATAAACTCCATCTGAATCCTACCTTAGGGATGCTACACTATCAATAAAATTACAAAACTATTGATCTTGGACTGTACTCATCCTCCAGCTGGTACTTTGAAAATTATTTATGCTTTTACCTGCATTTTGGGAAACGCGTCTGTCTCATTGTTTAATAAATGCCAATTTAAAAATCCGGGCCAAGTGCTAGAATGTTAAAAGCTTGACATATTAATTTCTTCCGTCTTCTAAAGACAGATGTATGCTCAGCCGCCATCCAGGGACACGTCTCCTTGGGCCTGCTGTGAGGGAGGCAACACAGGGCAACACCAGGAGAACCTTTTTTAACCCAAAAGCCCTTTTTTTCCATACACCTGTGGTGTGTGAGGGGTCCCCACTAACAGACCAAAAGCTGCGCCCCGCTGGGGTCCCTGCCCGGACGCCTCGCACCCTGGGGCACGTGTAACCTCGGGCTCCTACTCATTTATTTACCGATTTATTGACTGATTTCTAGGGGCCGAGGACCTGCCGCGGACCGGGGAGCAGGTAGGCCGCCCACCGGCCGCCATCTCCTCAGGCAGCGCCGGCCCAACCGCCGCCGCGCGCCCGCCCCGCCCCCGCGCGGGCACCGCCTCAGGGGCCTGTGGTGGCGGCGGCGGCGGTGAGGTCTGTCCCGGTCCCCTCAGCCCCGGATCCCCCATCCCCGTTATCCCCGTCCCCGGCGGGGAGGTAAGCTGCCGTGCGGGGGCGGTGCCGGCCGGTACAAGGTTCCCCCCCACACCCCCCGGCGCCGCCACCGCCCCGGGGGTGCTGGATCCGCGGCCGCCACCGCCTCCTCCTCCGCCCCGTTTGGGCGGGAAGGGGCTGAGGGGGGCAGGGGGTGTGGGGGGTGTAAATGGGAATAAATGAGAATAAATGAGGGTTTGCGAGGCCAGTCCGCAAAGCCCTGGGGTGCCAGCCAGGCCTCGGATCACGGAGAGAGCCTAATCTGGGGTGTTATCTGTTACTTTCCAGGCTTATTGGGGAAGTTTGGGTTTGTTTTTGTTTTAAAAAAGACCCCTTTTTTTTTTTTAAGGAAAAAAAAAAAAGAAAAGAAGTGAGGTTTTTTCGTGCTCCCTTGCCGATATTTTCAAGGGCCTTTGCAGGGAAGAGACTGATTGTGGAGGGGGGAAAAAGGCTGCCAAATGCACTAAGTCAACAATGAAAAAGGGGGTTTGTTTGTTTTGCTAAACTGATCCAATTCTAGTAATCTGAAGTGTTTCATTGTTACAAAAGGCAGTCCCTGAAACTGTAGTTTGCAAGTTGATATTGTCCTTTAAATATCTCCTAAACAGTTGTCCAGAGATTATCTAAGAATTTTTTAACTGTGATGCTTGGTTTGTTTCTTTTTTTTAACAGTGTTTTAAAATTAGTGGTGGGGGGAAACTTCTTCATAGACAATTTTTTTTTTTTTATTTTAAAGGTTAGATAATATTAAAATGGTTCTGAAAGTGTAAAAATAGTATTTATTAGTTTGTGAATGACAACATGGGCTAATATTAGAATCAGATCTGGAGGTAGTGATAACCACTCTTGTTTGCCACGTATGCTTTTTAGAAATAAGCGAATACTTAAGGTATGGTGTTTGCTTGAAAATCAGGCTGAATTTTCATCTGAAGGAGTTAACAGTTAAAGAAATGTTGATTGTGGACCCTTGGCTTGGGACGGGGATGCACTGGAGCTCACGGACCCTATCCAAAGTCCCCTGAAGCCTGGTGAAATCCAGTGCAACTCTGATAGGTTTCAACTGAAACCCTAAAATGGAAGTTCAGCCCTACGTCAGTGGCCACCCAGATCCTATTCCTGCCTCAGAATTAATCTCTGAATATGCTGTTAACTCCTGGTCCTGCACCAGACACTGTCTCCCTGCAAGATACAGAAATGGGCTCATCATCCTATGACAACATTCCACCAAATGTATATACTTTATATATACGCAGGGGGGTATTTTAGGGGCACAACACTTGTAGTCAATGATCTTTCTTAAGTATAACTAAAGGAAGAATTTAACCTACTAACCTCTCCCCCATTGAGATCTAGGGACTCCAAAAATGTGAGTCTAGACTTGCATGGAAGAAATGTATGGAGGGTTTTGAAGTTCTTCGGTGCTAGTTCAGAAACCGGCAAGCAAAACTTTTGTCTCGCACAAACTCAAAAGCTCTGTAACTAGTTTCAGTTCTGCCCCCTCCCCCAATATCTTCTGACATAAAGTTAATTAGGTGAAATTTCAAGCTAAACGGGCTTTTTTTCCTATGCAAAAATACAAAAATAGATCAAATATGAGCTTAGAGTGGAAATTTGGAATCAATTCCCCATCTTAATAGGGTCTAACTACAGGAATGTATTTGAAGAGTAATTCTGGAAATGTTGTCATTTTCACGAACTGCTGTTCACCAGTCTGATTATTCTGCATCTTCATATGCCTTGGAAACATTAGGGCTTTTTTTTTTTTTTTTTTTTTTTTTTTTAAAGCAAGGCATTTGGTGAAAGTGTAATCTACCGTGTGGTTTAATACAACTGTGATTAAAGGCTACCTGGGTTACTAAGCAGCCTTTGCCCAAGAAATACATACAATATCTTCACTATTTCAGCTGGGTCACCAATGCACAGGAGGGTGGTGGAGGGAGTCGTGCTGTGCTTTGGTGACTCTTTGTTCTGAAGGGCCTATGTCCAAACAGGGACTGAACCGGAGCAGCTGTGGGGCCACTTGAATTTACAGAAGGGATCAGGTAGGTTCCTGCCAACTGCAAAGTACAGCAGTGGGAGTCCCCGTCTTTATTTAAAATCTTCATCTGTCTTCCAGTATCTGGCACAACCTCTGCGCTTGATGGAAGATAACTGTGTATTTCATTGTTGCTTTATGCAGCTTTAGAAGGTTTTAAACCTCTTCACCGTTAGCTGGTCCTTTCAAAAGAAGTTTCTCCTGTGAGGGTTCCCTCTGCTTCCCTCCAAGAAGAAAGGCTCCCAGAAATTAAGTCTCTTAACTGGCATTTTAAGTTAGGACCACCATTCTCATTCCTGCTACCACCTTTCTTTGTCATTATGGTTGCCGCCAGTTGAGTAAAGAGAATCTCTCTTCCCTTTCATTTTGGGAAAGGTTGGGGGGAGGGAAAAGAAGTTGTGTTTTTTTTGTTTTTTTTGTTTTTTTTTCAGGCTGTGCGTTCCTTCTCTTTTCCTGAAATGGAATTGCTTGACTAAGGTATTGTCATATTTTCAGATATTTTGCCAAAAAACGCACAACCCAAAACAAAAAATATGATTGCACCCCCCCTTGCTAATTGTGTGACACTCAGGCATTTGTCTGTCTTGCACTGCATGATGATGTGATACAGAAGCAGACAGCCATAGATGGCCAGAAAAGGCTTAATTAAGTATTCTGCAGCTGCTACAAATTAGATCAGCATCTGCATCTGTGTAGACAATGAAATTCATGGTAATTTTGAGGGCCAAGCAAAGTAGAGATTTGTTTTGGATAGACCCCTAGCCACAATTCAAACAAAATTCAAATCAAACCTGTTCTAAGGGTAGAAAAACATTGGTCAACTTCATCTCCTCTTGCTGAAGGCCACTATGGTTCTCCGTCCTGGCTACAGATACAGATTCCAGTGTACCACATGAAAAGCTGCTGTTACAGTATTCCCAACTAGAAGAGGAAATGGCTTTTTTTTTTTTTTTTTTTTTTTTTTTTTGAGAAACCCAATTCTTAGGCGTTTCCCAGACGAGACTTTGAGATATCTTTTAGATAAGCACCCAACTTTTTGGCTGTTTCTCTGACAATTTCCCTCATTTCAAATTGAATACCCATTTCGGGAACTAAAGCTGGAGTAAATGATATGCAAATTTTAAAGGTCAGTCATCCTGCCTGTTATAACTGAGTATGCTATATGATATTTGCAGCATAAATTGACTATAGAATGCCATAGCAATTAGTACATGGAATGAGGGGGTAAAGGTATTGTTGGCAAACTGTTTTACACAGATATGCTTGCGTGCAGGTACCAAGAAGTAAGAGGTTAGTCTCTGGACATTTTGAGAAAATGCACTATTTTTAAGTGTTTGTGAACTCTTCAGTACTAAATTAGTGTTTTCCTTTTAGATTTGAACAGCTCCAAACATGAGCGTTGATCCATAAATGTGTCTTCTAAGTGCTGCTGTAATACTAATATTTCTATTATCAAAACAATAATTAATATAAAACTTTTATTAGACGTTTTAGAGAGGCCTTTTGAAGGTTGACAGCTCTTGTTGATAAGTGAAGAAGAACTTGTAACCTCTGTGGCCATAAAATGTAATTGCACAATAGTTGGGTCAGCTTTTAGATGTGCTTGTGCCACTTATGTTCGTCTATATTAAAACTTCCATGAGCCTCCAGCTGTGATGTCATTGGTTATAACTTTTCCCATGGAAGCACTTTAAAAAGTTGATATTACCGAGGTTAAAAGGAAACTAAGCCTCGGAGGTCATGTTTGGTTATGTACTTTGGTTTAGATGTATTTCATCTGAAGTTACTGTCGCTGTTGTATGATCTAGTTTTGAGTGTCTTTGCACAGCTCCTGTATGGTAGGGGCAGATTTAAGTCCCCGTTTCTGCTCCTTTACAGATAGCCACACCCACACAGGAGAAGAAACCTGGTAACTAAAAGAAGTTTCTGAAATTGAGCATTGTTACTTTTGCCAGGCAAATAAGGACCATACAGAGACAACTTCAGTTCTTTTATAATTAACTAGTTAATCTCCAGTCAAATGTGTATTGAAACCTCTTGAACTGACCCATCAACTATGTTGCTACCTGCTCTGGTTTTAAACTCTCAGTAAGAGTTAAATACACCTGTTATTTGTCTTTACCTTTCAGATCTACAGCAGCCTGAGGGTCTGTGCTGTAAAGCCCCCTTCTGCTAGTGTCTACGGAGAAGATGTAGTTGTCCTCTTGGCTGTGAGTCGGATAAAGGAATAAGGGCTGGAGACCAGGTACATATTTGAAAATGGAGGTTATGAGATTTTCTAGCTGTTGAAACTGAAGGGTCTTTTGGGGTCTAGACGTTCAGGTAGGGTGATGATGGGGCAAAAGGCATATGGGCAGAAATCATGTGAGGACTGTCGCTAGCGTGGATAGACAAGTTAAGAATTTCTAGATTGCAGTGAGATTCAATGAGGAGTTCCTGCATCTGTTTTGCAGATTAAACCCAGCAGTTTTCAAGCTATTTAAAAAGTAGTTTCTCCCGGGAACCAAGGAACAAGTGCTTCTTTGCCCTAGGTGGGAGCCGGTTCCCTCATATTTCTGAGGAAGAATACAAACCAAAATCTCATTTCAGTGAGGTTGTATGTGCCTAGGATCTAAAGTGCTATCAAAAGCACAGTGGTTGAGGATGGAATGGTTAATGAAGTCAGTCACTGCAAGGAGACATAATTAAATGGATAGCCGTATCTTTCCAGGGGTAGGAACTATCTCCTGATACACAAGTAGATTATTTCACCATCTCTTCTCTTTTTCTCAACATTAGTAGACTCTTCATTAATTTTTATAATTATTGCACACGATCCTAATTTGTTATCACCAAGCATTCTTCTACAATAATTTCAAACTCAGGAGATGGATTGATACTGGGGAAAGGGCTATTTGCATATAGTTATTTTGGATACAGAATATCCTGCAGTCACTTAATAAAGAAAAAAGAATGGATGCTGCAAATATCTATAACAAGAACTATAGAAACCATTGATTCTGTGTACTTCCTTATCATTATTATTATTGGTATAGCAATAGAAGAAAGTAGAAAGAGATGAAAAATACTGGGGGAGAGATTTTTTTTTTTTTAAAAACAAAACTCAAACAACCAGATACAGAAAGGTTTGTTTTGCTGAATTAATCCTTAGCAGCTGGGTATGATACTATTCAGCTTTTAATTTTCTGCCCTGACAGATGCTGTTGTGTTTTAGGGTACAGCGCCTTGGCTACATTAACATTAGATTGAACTTCATATGCTGTGAGCACAACTTTTAAGTATATATGTGGAACTAGTGTTGTGATACATATATATTTATGCACGAAGCAGTAATTGCTGTTTCTGTGCAGTTATTTTGTGCTTCCAGCAACACAGCTTAAATCTGTATGTCTATCCTTTGTAAGCTGTATTTATTGAACTTGATGGAGAATCCAGTGCCTTTAGAGTTACGCGCAGAACGCACCGTTGCTTTTGTCTTTATTGGAAATTTCTTAAGCGGTGTTTTTAGAACTTGCCTCATAATGGTAATTGCTTTCAAAGGAGCAACCCCAATTTAGCTATGCAACAAATCCTTAGTACTTTCACTGGAGGAGACAACTCAGTTAACAGGTTGTCTGTATATTGTGTCAAGGGGTATCGGCTCAAGGCCAGTCCACATTACCTTGTTTTTGGTGAACCATACGGTGCAATAGCATTTTTGAAATGGGATAGCAGGGAGGAGCCGCCAGCAGTCGTGGGGAGTGGTATGGGAATGCTGGGGGTGTCTTCACATGGGAATGGGGCACAGTGGGGTGCAGGGGTGGGGAGCAGTGGCAGGGTAGTCCCCCTGTGGCCACTACAACTGCTGAGGGGTGGTGGAGCCCCCAGCAGAGGCAGCGGCTCCCTATTTTGCCATCAGACTGGTGAGGAGGAGAATTCCCCTCTGCTTCCTAACGTGCGTGTGTTCCTTTGATCTTGGGGATGGTGTTAGACCAGTAACCAATGGATTTTTGAACAAAAAAAAAATGGAAGTAATAAAAGCCCATGAAGAAAGTTATATATCTTTTGTGGAATATGATTTTGTTCACTGTACCAAGGGAAAAATAATTGTGAATTTAAAGTGTATATTGCATACTCATATATATGTACGTACACACACTTTATATACACAAGTGTATATGGATACACACAAAAAATTTATAATAGAAAATGGAAAATTTTAATGTTTTAAATGCCCATGTATGAAGCAGTAAGTAAGGCAATTTGTCCTGTTTTCCCCCCTAATTTTTATCATGCAGGTCATCTTCTTATCTCACTCCTAAATGCAACTTCATTGCCTTCAGTGGAAAGTGTCCAGTTTTCACAGAGTTAGTGAAAGGAGAAGGCACGATATGCTTTGAAAATACCATGTAACACTGCATGAAAAGCCTTGAATTAACTTTTGAAGAACACAGCATAGAGTAACTAAATTGTGATTTTTGCCAAAGCTTTGTGGTTAAATCCCATTTTATATTTACACGCACTATGGAATAACTAATATAGATGTCTTCCTGACACTAAAGCTTGGATTTATTGGAAAAGACAAACATGTGGTTGAAAGCTGAGCTGGGCTGTAGCTTTTCAAAATAAAAGAGATAAAATGATAGTTGTAGAATAAACTGCCCTAGTTTACAAAACAGACAACAGAGCTCTTAGTTACTAGGGGATAGTTGGTACAGAAATAAATGAGTGCACCAGGCATTTTTGGGCTTGTTTCTGGTTCTAACTGAAATATTAGTGAAGTTTCAGTGAATTAAGTAAGGTTTTTCTATTTCTTAATCTCTCAGTAGTTCATAAATAATAGAACTATTTTAGAATTTCATTTAATGTGCTTAAATCTGATGATGAGAAAAATAAGAAACAGACCAATGAAGGGCACTCATTTAAGTTTAATGGCATGAGCAACCTAGTATGTATTCTCTGCCTTTTGCAATATTAAACAATCTTTTTCTATAAAAGTAAAGCATTCTGTACTGAAGTTTTATTTTACAAAATATTCTTTTCCCTAAATGCAGTGAAATGTAGACTAATTTAATAGGAATTTCGTAAAATTATCCAGGAGTTTGTCACGTTAATTACTCTTTCTGAGCCTGTAAAATCAATACAGTAAAATGCTGATGAACTCAAAGTATATAGAATTAAAGGCTGTAAACCAAAGGCTGTATGTTTTTCTTGGTTAGTGTAGCACGCACAATGTCTAGTTAACTCTAGGAACTGCCGTTACTATTTACTGTCTTCGGATTTAACAGTGCTTGGTTTTAATGGCTGTTCAGGGGATTTGGTTTCCATACTTTACAAATGTTATGCATGAAACAGCAATGTTTTACAGGCATTGCTAAGTTTAAAGGCAGCTCTAGTTTGGGGGTTTTTGTTTTGCTTTACATTTCATACTTCATCTGAGAAAATATCTTTCATATTTAGAGTTTTACTTTTTACTTTGACAAGTAACGTTTTATCATGCTGGTCTTTTATTCTCACATAGAGTAGGATATTCTTGCAGCAAACAAAATTGTGATTATTTTCATATAGCATGTTCCAGAAACAAAAATAATCTCTGCTGTGCTTATTCTTGTCTCCCAAAATGAAGAAAATGGACAAGAATTAAGGCCTGATCTACCTCTGCTGAGGTGAGAGTTCCCTGTCAGCTATACCAGTCCCACACCAAGCAGCCTAGTTGAAAAAAGTCACAGATCAGGGGTGTTTAAAAGAGCCTCAGGTATTATTATTCAGCCTAATCTTAGGCTGTCCATTGCTGATGTATCATTTATGTCGACATCTGGGGAATATCCACTACAGAAATAGTCTAGCTGTATATTGACGTATGATTCCTTCCTTTCTGCCATTACTGTCTTCTATGGTGTGCATGTGAATTGAGAATATGGAATCTGTTTACTCAAAAAGATTCATATGGTCAAGTTTTCTGTCTGTTTACTTGCTTAAATAAATGTTTTCAATTTAACACAACAATTTGTAATGAATACTGTGAAACAAAGTTAAAAGAATGAGTTCTTGAAATAGAAATCATAATAAAAATGCTTTTCTCCCCTCCAAAATATTTATTTTAACATGTGGTCACATTTTCCTACATTTTCACATTAATTGAAATCTTATTGTTCTAGAAAAATAAATCTCTTTTTTCCTTCATCTAGTTTCCCAGTTCTTACGCAAATTAAAGAATACACACACGGGCATAATTTGCAGTTTTAAAATAAGGAAAACTGTGTAAATTCATGATACATCTTAAAAGCAGCATGCCAAGCAGTGCTCTCATGTAGCCTCTGTTTTGTAATTTACCCTTTCACTTTAGCGAAAGGCAGCAGTTTTGTGTGATAATCCTTTGGTTGACTTTTGTAAAATGTTCTAAAGATCGTTAATTTCACTTTCTTATTTATTACAAAGTAATGTTATGTTGGTGCTCAGACGGAGTTTCTAGGAATGTCCGCTGAAGCTCCAGATACCGGGAACAGTCTACAGACAATGCATCCTTTCTATTTATTTGGAAATTACCAGGATAACTCATATATTTTAAAGGAGACAGATGGGGGGGCATAGAGTACACCCCCAGTGCTGTCTGGCTTCTGGTGTTGCTGTATGTAATCTTCTATGTTCTTTCTTTTCAGATTCATAGAAACAGTTTGAAAGAAACCGACTATAAATACCCAGTCACTTTCAGGAAACTTTTCTTGGCAACAGAAGCTAAAATCAAGCACCGTATCAAATAAAATGCGAAGCATGCTACAAAGCTTATCTCCTTTCTCCTGAAGAAAGCTTTGTGAGTGTAGCCACGAGCCCGGAGCTGAATCACCCAGTGCCGCGGCAAGCAGAGCAACTCCAAAGACTTTTAAGAATAATTTTTCAATCGTTTTCTCTATTAAAACTCACCAGCGCCCTTCTTCTGCTTCTCCAGGAAGTTGTACCCGTCAGCACCTGCTGAGGGCTTCGTTGATCAAACTGGCAGGTAAAAAAAATAAAATTCCTGTAGAGTAAAGCCAGACCAGCTGGCTTTGAAGAGAAACCCCCCAGTTTGGGTTGTGTTTGCCTCACTCACCCTCTCCTCGGCAGCTTGGGGCTTTTTCTCCTTTGGATGTTGACCTGTAGGTTGCGTGATGCGGGCGCGCAAGTGTCTGGCAGGCGAAGGGGCACCTGCTTCTGTCAGTCCCGAGTAAATTTAGCTGTAAAAGGTATCGCTGACAAGCAGACCTTTGTCAGGGCTGGCAAACGAACACAGCCTTGCCGTCCCCCCCCGTCCCAAGTGCGCTGCGAGTTCAAATGGAAAATATCAAATTGGTCGTCTTATCCAGGAATCGCTTCTTCGAGAAGAAGGAAGGCCAAATTGCTTGCATGTGGCAAAAAAAAAAAAACCTTTCCTCCTTTACATAGATGTTAAAATTACAGTATTCCAAGAATAATCTCTGAACAAGACGGGGTTTTGTTCTATTAATTGTGGCTGGAAGGAAACTTTTTTTTTTTTTTTAAATGGAAATACAGCACACACATATTTCAATTCAGGTTATTAAACTGTGTTAAGTATTAAAGTTGATTGCCTTTCTTTTCACTAACTCATTGTGCTTTTTTACCCAAAGAAATATTAGAAGACTAAAACCTCTCAAATAGGAGGTATTAATCTCATTCCCAAAATTAGAAAGCATGCAGTGTTGAGAGACTGGATGTCAAAATTACACGTTCGTAGCACTTAGACGGTGGGAATCTAGGAACCAACCACTTTTAAAATGAGAGCTAAAGTAAATGGAGACTCTTCTGAGAGAAGAGATCAAAACTTGGTTTTCTTGTCTTTATTGGATTAAGGTAAGGATATTTATCATTTATATCTGCCCCTTGCGTTTTTTCCCCCCTCCCCTCTCCCTTTTTTTTAATCACCAGAAGTGGCTTTTTTTTTTTTTTTTTGCCAGGACTGGTAGTAGCATACCTAGGTACTCCATTTTCTGCTTGGAAACTGTGACGCAAACTCAAGCAACTTTAAGGAAAAAATTCAAAAAAGTGTGTATTTCACTACAATATGCTGTTTAAAAGGAGCAAAATGTTCCGTCTAAAAAAGTGGTGAGAAAAAGTGTGGGTCAGGGGCTCTTTGTAAAATAAACAAGGTTCCTATTTACTTACTTGTATAAACAACCACTCACCAAGCTGTATGTCTCTGCAGGGGCACCCTTTCAGATAAAAACATGGACCTGATTGGCATCATCCGGTATCCATGGAAACGTTTGAAGTACCTCTCTCTCAATATGTACTTCTCTTATTCAGGGTTTAAAAGCTGAGTACCGAATAAGTAAGTGTTTTTATTTAATAATTATACAGAAGGTACTTTGTGGAAGCTTGGTTCTTGGGGTTTGTATCTATCATAATAAAGATCTTAACATTTTCATCGTGTTTGATAAAATCATGTGTTTCCTTTCAAGCCTCCTATCAGATTTCATTCTTACATTAAAAACAACATTCAAAAAGTCCTAATGAATGAAAATTCTGAATTTTTTGACGGTCCATTAGTGTTTAAAAAGAATTATCATAATTCATATTGCTATCAGACTTAGTCACTGCTCTAATTGCTTTAAACTGGTCTGTTTTTCTGAAAAAAGAAATAGGAAAAAAGACCAAGAATTATTTTGTCTTTTGACAACAGCCATACCCACCTATATCGCTGTTTAGTGGGTCACAGAAGTTGAGAGTTTAACAATCGTCTTGAAATTGAACCAAAAGACTGAAAATAAAGGAGGCGCTTTAACACAGAAATAGGTGAAATGCAAATGATTTTCCTATTAAGATGTGTCTGCCCTACTACTTAGTTAAAATATCAAAGCAAAGAACTAACAGAAATAAATAAGGGATTTTCTGTCTCCATATTTCCATGCAGAGAAAGAAGCGTAAGGTTGAACTACATTTATTTTCAAAACCATCATTCTGAAGAAGATCCTTTGCAGGTAGTTATTTCGAAGTTCCCTTGGCTCAAATTCAAAACTCTTTTTGATTTCCACCTACTAACTGGTCCCACTGATGCATGTTGTTAATGTAGTTAGATTTGCAAAGTATGAAAATGAGCGAGTGCTACCCATTATTTAACAGTCTGTATGTATTTTCTAAAAAAAAAAAAAAGGTGTCTTAATTTTGTTGATGGAAAACATTTTCTTCACCTGGGCCAAGTCGTAACACTAAAATGCCTCACTAATTGCAACTGCTATCGGAAAAACACATTTCTGTCTAGGAAGATCCAGTAGTTCTCGCGGAAATCCAACTGGTTGGGAGTCTTGGTTTGCTAAGTCTGTGCCTCTGCATATTATTTTCATGTACTGCTGTGCCTGTTTTTGTGTGCCACCTTGTCTCGACAGCCCAGTCCCTGCTGAGTGCAGATGGCACAAACGATCTCTCCGCTGATTAGGCTGGAACAGCCTTTGTAGAAACCGTGTAAAACTTTGCTGCCTAAAGGAAGTTAGATCCTCCGTATCGGGCTTGCACTTTATATTTATGTATATGCATTTACAAGTGTGTAAGCACCTTATTTAAGAAGTGTGGTTGTGGTGTGGGCCCGTTGAACCTGCCTGGCTCTCTGTGAGAGCTCCTCTGCCCATGGGCTGGCCCCCTTCCTCCCGCAGATTGCCACATGAGACCTAGGATTGTGATTGCTCCCAAGAACTTTTACTCCGAGCCAGCTGGGCATATCAGAGAGGTGAAACTCCCAGCCCTCGGGGAAGGATGCAGCGCACATGACGATTTTGTACATTTCCCTTCTATCATGTGCCTGTCCTTGCTGCAAGGTGAAGGTTGCTGGGGTATTAGAAAGGGAGACTGGTCCCGGCTCAGCCCTCTCTGCGTTCAGCCCGACGCGGAGGAAGATCTGACCTTGCTCACCATCCCCAACAGATAAAATTCCAGTTATGTGCTTTGAGTGGCAGGATGGCTTGGGTGCACTGCGAAACGCAGGGGAGGCTGGGCTTGACCCTGCCGCACTGAAACGGGGGAAAACAAGAGATTTGCACTGTGACCCCTGTGTAACGGGTAAAAACCCGATTCTTCCTCGCCACAGAGCGCGGGGAAAGCAGGGGATGGGGAAAATTGATAGTGGTATCACTTGGGCACATAAATCTTCATCTAAGTAATATGTTCTCAGCTTTATGATTTTTAGCTTTTTAATCCAAGATGTCTTTTTTTTTTTTTTTTTTTTTTCCCTAGCATTTGTTAAAGAATCACTTCCAAAATGCTAGAAAGTCAGCCTGAGCATATTGCAGATAAAATCTGTCTCCCTTCTCCATCACGTAAAATAGAGATACAACATTTGGCCTATATTCAGTTTTTCAGGTGCTAAAAAGCTATGACAAAACTGCACAGATCGTATGATAATGGGCATATTATACAACTCTAGATCATCATATGCCCAACTTATTATTACTATTTTAGTTTTCTACAGACCATTTTTATAGCACCACCAACTTACATGGTACTTCACAAACATAAAGGCTCATGGCATGCTTTTTGAATTTATAGATCAAATACAAATAAGCGGTGAAGGAAACAGGCAGGCATTTAAGAATACAGCAAAGGTGTGGGGCGTATTGCTGTGAAAAGAGGAGTGAGATGAGTTGTTCGAAGGCTTTTAAGGATGATCAGCAGACTAAAATGTAGACAAGGAATTCTCTGAGGAGCACCTCCTATTATTTTTGAACCATCAGAGCGAAAACGGGCCCTAAATTCTGACCCTTCTGTACTTGAAACGTACCCAGCTGAAAAGGGCTGAAAAAGAAGCCTGACTGACAAAAAAGCAGCTGCATTTGAGGAACTTGTGCACAACAAAGATGGCTCAAATTCGGGGGTGAAAAGGGGTGGGAAAGCTGAAAACACAGCATCTGCTTCCACTGGTAGGAGCAGACAGTTGCCTGGAGGGGAATAGACATGTACAATAGCAATGTGATAGAGGGTGAAAACCCTGTTCATAAAGGTACTCAATTACATGCATAACTTTTAAGTTGCACCGTGGGCTTCCCTATATCATTGTGCCGAGCTGGAGAGCAGAAAGAATGTAAACTTAGATTTGGAGAGGGAGAGCAATGTTATGGAGGTTTTCCTAATAGAAAAGAGGAGCTGGAATATTGTTCCTGAAGAGAAAGTAAATTGCGAGATATCCCCACAGTAGAGGTGTGATAGGAAAAAAGTTATGGACAGTTTTGAGGTAAGGGTGTAGGGCCAGAGTTTAGGTACATATAGTGAGATGCCCATCCATTTTAGAGTCTGTTAGTGGTGGGGAGCCACATCTCAAAGTAGAAGAACTCTATTTAGGAACAAGTGGCACAATGAGAGTTCGGAAATATGTCAGTCCCTAAGTTAAGGAAGAGAATAGAGTAAACATGGAGTGAGACAGGAGGTAAAGAAGGAGTAGAAGGAAGAGTTGGTGTTTCAGTAGGAAAAATTCTGGTTGTGGTAGTGGCTGTTTGTAGCCAGAGGGAGATGCATGCTGCGTAGCAGAAAACAGATTTGGCATAAATGCAGCGGAAGGCAGGGAAAAAGAAAATGTCTCTGAGAGTAGGGGAAAGCAAAAACTTCGGAGTATGCTTCTCTACTTTTCAATTTTTTATGTCCTAAAATGGAAGCGACTTCTCGAAAAGGAAAATTGAAACCACTGAAGGGGAAGGGTGAAGAGATGAACCCGACCTTGCAGTGAGTTACTGGTTTGTGCTGGAGGACTGTGCCTGGGAGAGCTGCGTGCACACCTTGTAGAGGCACGTTGAACTGCCCTACCTCTGGGTTATCCTGACCAGATTTAAAAGAAACTGCGGGGAGAGGTTACTAATGTAGGCAGAGGAAGTGATTTCTGACACATGCGAGAGCCAGTGTGGTGGTGTAACACAATATGCAAAGCTATATACAGGCAGGAAGGGATGGGATGACATTGGTAGGGCCCAAACTTGGCGCTGGCGGCTCAGCGCAGGCTGTAGCGTTGCCTCTGCCACGCCAGGTTCACAGGCTGGTTCAACGAGGAGGCCTGTTGCAGGAACTACGAGCGATTAACTCACAGCAAACCTCTTCCTAGGTTTTGTCAGGAGCTGGGGAAAAAAGCAAGAGGCAGCACTGGGGTACGTGCATCTGGATCCGTAGCGTCGCGCTGACGGAGCCTGCAGCCTGTGGGAGCTCAGGTACGTATATGGCATTCATTGAAAAGTGCTCCAGGAGTCTGTCAAGGGAGGGAAGAGAGCTTCCCCAGCAATGTTTACTGCAGAACAGTTACACTGATTATAAGTTACTTTTAAAGTAATAAATTAATAGTGACCTTCTCTGCCAAAGTATGATTTATTACAGACTGATCTGCTGTTTTGTATAACTGTTTTACATACTAATTGCCAGTATAGTTGCCCAAGAATTGGAATATAAATATGATGGGGAGTGATTCATAGACAGTGTCTAAAAGCAAACCGAAAACCTCAAAATGTTACAAGCTTTTAGAACTAAAACATTTTAGTGCGAATCAGCAATATGGTATATTGTCAAATTAATTATTTGAAAAGGAGTATTTATAATAAACATTGGAAAGGATCAGCGGAATAAAGGGTTTTACTAAACATTCCCAGCTTCATCTAAAGATGATTCAACTCCTGTTCCTGCAGACCGTTTTTCATATTTTGCTATTGTCTCCTGAATTCCTGCAAGCTCCAGTTTTATAAGCCTATTCTGTTCAATAGATAAAGAGTTTTGTTTTGCATTTGTGCTGGTGCATACAGAAGATGCTTACTAATAAAGAATTAAATGGACCTCCTTCTTGTTTTGAGCCTTTCATACTCTATGTATAGCTGATTTGAAAATTATTATTTTAGGTGGGTCTGGTACCATACACAAGGTTGCCTAACATTTCTCATTAAGATTTTTCGTTGTATGAGAGTTGCCAAATTTCAGCCATTAAGATTTAAAGTTGTCCTTTTTGGGTATGCACTTTATCTTGGATTTTCTGGAATGATTCCGCAGTTACTTGAAGAGAACAAGAGGAGAGGTATTCCAGATTACCTGTTAAAAAACCGTGTAAATTTGTTTCACTGGGAGTCTCTAACACCTACAGATTTTGGAATAATGGAAGAGGTTTGGGCACAGTCTTAGGAATGTACCTGACACCAGCCCAAGTGGCATCTCTGCCAAAGAGAAATTTTCCAGGAAAATAGCAGGTTGTGTGTGCTTGTCTGAGGCTTCAGTTGGGAATCTGGCAGCAAAGAAGGGGAGGAAGTGGTTAAAAGCTGTTGGCATGCCTGTATGCATAGACCCAACTTGGAGCTGGATGGCAGCTAATTCTGATATTTGCAATATTTTAAGCACTGGCCATTACTTTCTCACAGAATGTGGGGGTTTACTTAGGTGCACACTAACTGTGTATGTTTTGCAGTTTGTACAGACAGATGTGTCTGCTGCTGTCTGCTCCGTATCTGCTCGGTCTCCATTTCTAGTTCAAAAAGGTGAATACATAGGTTGTTCTTTCTCTCTTTACTTCCTTTTCCTGCTCCTTGGAATGATAGAGGGAACTAAGCTCACCTTGACTTCCTTTCTTTGTCCCACCCTCCCAGCTCTTAGTGTGGCAGTAAGCATTGTCCAGCCTTCCAACTTGTAGACAGAAAAATTTCTAGTAGTATTCGCACATTCTGAAGAGCAGAGTTTTGCAGTAGCCACTTGTATGTACAAAAATGTAATTCTAATCTTCTGTTGTTTTTTTGGCATTAATGCACCATATTCACTGAGACTGAGACAAAACTGCTGCCTCTAAGAGCCACTGATTTGGACAATTATCCAAAATCAGATTATAATAAATGGCAGTCTTAGGAATTTTGATTAACCTCTAAATAAATGTTACTTTGGAAAAACCCTGTCAAATGCATTAATGATAAATTGTGAAGTAGTAGTAATTGCAGGCATGGCATTATAGATAACGTAGTTAATTCATACCACCCTCTCAAACATGTATAGCACATCAGCTGCCATGAAGCTGGAGTGATTATAATAGTATTTACAACAGTTTAAATACATCAGATAAGACGTGTGAAGTGGAAACTTAGGGTGCCTGCTACGATCATCTCACTTGGTCATTTAATAACTTGACTTTGGGCAAATACTGCTGGGCCATTAACGCTTCCAGCTTTCTAAGGAGGTAAAGGATGTATGAGCTGCTCTAGCTGGATTTTAAGGGAATACCATATGGTTTAGGATGAAAATTGTAATTTATCCAGACAAGTCTGCACAGTAATCGGTTGTCTCCAGGGGTCACCCAGAGAGGAGAGTGGGGAGCAGCAGGAGGTGGACCAGGGACAGGACTGGAGATGAGGCTACAGCATAGCTCCTTAGTCCATCCAGGGGACAGGGCAAAAGTGGGACTGGTGACAAAGCTATGAAAAAGCAGGGGCCTATCCAGGAGACAGCTACCCAGAGCAAAGGTCTAGTCTCAATCCAGAGACTACTACACTTAAAACATAGCTCTGGCTAATTAAGGCCCTGGGCTGAGCTTAAGTGGAGCAACTTTGTCTGGGGGCACGGGTGTGGGGGAGGCTTATCAGAGCCATTACAGCCTGTCAGGGCAATCAGAGCCTTGACAGCTTCTTCCTTTCTCCTTCCCTTATCACGGCTTGCAGTCACAGGGTTCACAAAATGCATCTGCCTTGGTCACCTCTCCTTGTGATGGTCCCAAGGAACAGTGTGTTTTGGGTGAGTTCAGGATGAGATTACAAATGGAAGTGGAAAACATGTCCTTGTCTTGCAGGCTTGTTCACAGGGATGCAGTAGAGATGATACACGCGGACTCTAAGGAAGAATGACCTGGCTTTGGGGGAGGAATGACACACGTTTGATGAACGGTCCTCAGTTCGTCTTGTTTCAAGCATGGCTGCAATCTTCATCGACAGGTTAGAAGAGAATAAGATGTGTGCACAGAAATAAGATGTAGCTGCAGCAGCTCCATTGAACCAGAGGGAGTCTTCCTCAACAAGATGAAGTTGACAGCAGAATGAAAAACTGGGAAGCATACAGAGGACAGGCAGCACCAGCCACTGCAACATCTCCCAGCACATGAATCTAAGTGAAAGGAGTAGTTTTTTGGGGAATTTTTTTAGTCATAGCATAGATAAAACAACAGTTGCACGACAAGAAGGAAGAAGAAAAACAGTGGGTAGGGCCTGGAGCATCAATCTTGGGAAGAGCGGTTGAAGGAGCTGGGACTGTTTAGTTTGAGGAAGAGGAGGCTGAGTGAGGGGAGACCTCATCACTCTCTACAGCTACTTGAAAGGACACTGTAGAGAGGTTGGTGCTGGTCTCTTCTCACACGTAATTAGGGACAGAACGAGAGGGAACGGCTTCAAGCTCCAACAGGGTAGGTTTAGACTGAACATTTGGAAAGAATTTTTCACAGAAAGAGTGGTCGGGCATTGGAACAGGCTGCCCAGGGAGGTGGTTGAGTCACCATCCCTGGACGTGTTTAAGAGTCATTTAGATGTGGTGTTGGGGGATAGGGTGCAGGAGAGAACTTTGTAGAGTGGGGTTGATGGTCGGACTCGATGATCCCAAGGGTCTTTTCCAACTTGAATGATTCTATGATTCTACGTGTGTTTCTATCTTCAGCAATGGCGTTAGCAATGGAGAGTGCCACCTCCCAGGACAGACCATGAAAAACTGACTTTTCACCCAGGAAGCTTCTCTGTAGCTGATCACCCCGTGTGTTGAACACCGCATAATTCCATTGTCATGGAAATCCAGGTGTTTTGTGACGTGGATAAAATATATAGTCTGCTGCTTGGCAGAGACAAGAGGGTTCTGTCTTACAGTGACGAGAGTAGTGGCCAGCCATGCCTGAGGTGGACCTTCTGCTCCTGGTTACAGGTTTTGCCCATCTCACCCCTGGGCGTGCTAGGTGGCACAAGTCACAGCTTCTGTATCTGGGCCAGGCTGATCACTTGATACGATGCCTATTATAGAGCAGTGACGGGCAGTGGGGTGAGAGGAGAGCTATCAAGTACAAATGAGATCTGCTGAAGTGCAGCTTGGACATGCTCGCTTCTGTCACAAATGAGTTAGGGAGGATAGAGTGACACATCTGACCCACTTGGTCCAGCAAATGCAAACCTGGAGCTACCACAGACGTGTAAGCGTAGCTAGGAGAGCTTCAGGGCTCCATTCTCTACCCCTGAGATCACAGGTTATGAAATACAATAGGACGTCCTTTTCAGGAAGGAGATCAGCTCATCTTCCTCCTGTAAATGTTCTGGGCAAAGGCTGTGTGGGTGTAGCTGCTTGAGAAAGGGGGTTGGAATGCTGTTGGGAAAATAAAGCTGAGACTAAAACCTCAGGCTACAGAAAATGCTTTGTAAATGCTGGTTTTTGAGGAAGAATCTGCAGGTTAATGCGATTATTTTGCTGGGTTATTCTGCCAATTTAAGCCATCTTACTTACAGTATAAATCCATGAGATCAATTTATGACCCTCTAGTTAGGAATAGCTCTTGTCCATTTTCAAATGAAAACTGCTAGTCTTGAAAATTCCACCATTCCTGTAAGGGTAAAATACCACTATTTAGCCCATAAGTATAGGCAAAATCATGTGAAATGAGCCCAAGTCCTGTATTTTTTCTAGACTGCCTTGAATGAGGTTTTGGTAACTATGTATAAAAACAGTTCATAATTTCAAACAGTTTGGGTTTTTTTTGTTTGGTTGGTTCGTTTTTTTTTTTTTATTATTTTTTTATTTTTTAAAGTAACATGATGGATTTAGTGAAATAAAAGATATCTTGCTTCTGAACTTTCTCCCAATCCCCACTCTGCCCCCCTCTCCCGCCACTTTTCCCAAATAACAGAAAAGCCAAAATCTCCATAAGGAAGCAGGGCTGTTCTGTGAACACTAATGTGTTCTTACCACTTTTGTCAATTATATGAATTTGTTTTCCGGTATTAAAGCCAGCATGAAGGACTACTTTACAGTGAATAAAGTATTCAGTCTTAAGCGCTAAGAACAATTTTTTAAGCTGAAGTTTTCCTTTTGAGAGTTGTCCAAGGTTTTCATTCTACGACTTCTTCCTAAAGCTGCGGCTCCATAAATCAGGCCAGAAGCATACCTGTTTACACAGCTGTGCCAGGGGAACGCTGCAGGAACTTCACCTTGCCAAGGGAAGGATTGCACCCTGGCAAGGATCAACTCCCTCTCTCATTCCGAGCTTATTCCTCAAGGCTGATGAGCAATAATTTGTGTCCCAAGAGCAAAAAAGGGGGCAATGCCCCTGACTGATAGCTCTGATTTTCATAGCTGATGGAGAAGTAAACCTCAAGGAAAGATGGTTTGTTTTTTTTTCCCTTGGATTTTTTCTCTTTTTTGTGTTCTTGTGAGGACATGGAGGCAGCCTCTCATCTCCTTGGGAATGCTTGAACATAAGATTGCTAATAGGAAACATTATACACAGCTCCATCTATATTTTCCCAGTCATTTTCCATGCACCAATCCTCAGCCAACGCCACTGGCATCACTCCCACTGAACAGACACTAATTTACACCAGCTGAGGTCCTGGGTCTTATGTTACCCTTATATTCGTGTACTATAGTCTGGGAAATGTCAATAAAGCACACAGGTTTAGAAATGGATAAGGTACATGAGCGCAGCAAAACTATTTTACATAAGGACTCGGGTCAGAGCTGTTGCTTATGGCTGGCATTCTATGATATGCTTGCTTTCTGACCCCATCTCCTACTGCAGCTCACTTGACCTAAATTCTACTGCAGTTTTCTGTTGCAAAAAACTGAGAATTCAGGCGCTGCTGCAAGTAAATTAAACAAAAATGGGCGTCTTTACCAAAATGATACAATGAATTCAGCGTTGTATGGCATTTAATCTTATATTGCATCCTATTGATTTTATGCCAGGCTTAATTTTTCATTTTCAAAGCAAGCTGCAGACTGCAGTATTGGTACCGAGAGTTGTCAGCACAATAAACAGAAGGTTTGGGGAGTAGATATGGGGAAGTTGAAATTTATCAAATTTGGCAAGAATACGAAGATGGTCTGGGAAGCAGACATTAGTATAACAAGCAGCTGTGAAATACTTAGCATCACTGACCATTTAAATGGGGGCTATCAAGTTTTCTCTTTTAATTAACAATTAAAATCAAGGGGCAGTTCATGCCTGTTAGAGCCATTCTGTTAGGCTGCCTGCAAACTTGGGCATGTATCTCTGCATGACTTTATTTTCGGTTAACATCTGGAAGATTTTCTTTGCCACTAAAGGCAAAAAGCCC